GCCCGCTAAAATTTTTTTCGAGTAAGTTCATAATTCGGGGATCTGAGAAGCTAGGACGCTGAAATGTTAGGGCAGTGTTCCCCGTCCAAGTAGGTATTATTGAGTTCAAACCCATCCCCCGGGTAAGCGTGGTACCCGCGTGCGGGCCAGCCAAAATTTTTTTCCGGTAATTTCATAACTCAGGGATCTGAGAAGGTAGAAAGCTGAAATCATAAGGGTATGCTCCTCGTCCAAGTGGGTATTAATGAGCTCATGCCCATCCCCCGGGTAAGCGTGGTACCCACGTACGGGCCCGTGAAAATTTTTTTTTCGGGTAGTTGATAACTCAGGGATCTGAAAAGCTAGAAGGCTGAAATGTCAAGGGGATGTTCCCCGTCCAAGTGATATTAACGTGCTCAAACCCAGCCTCGGGTGTGCGTGATACCCACACATGGGCCCGCCAAAGTTTTTTTTCGGCTAAGTTAATAACTCGAGAGTATGAAAAGCTAAAGGACTGCAATTTTAAGAGGATATTCCCCATTCATCTAAGTCTCATTGAGCTCAAACCCAGACCCCGGGCACGCGTGGTACCCACATATGGGCCCGCCAATTTTTTTTCCAGGTAGGTTGCTAACTCAGGAGCCAGAAAAGTTAGAAAACTGAAATTTTAAGGGGGTGTTTCCTAAGAGTTCTGGCGGCCAATCTTAATTTATTTAGCTAGAAGCATTTGCCGAAAAAACCGATGCCGGCAGCGACAAAAACTGCGGGGGACTATGCAAAAAACGCATCGTCGCGCGGGCAGCCCGTGCATTGGCCAATTATTTCCTTTTACTTAGCTTTATCCTCCGATCTTTGTCAACAGTCATAGCATCCACGCTCGGCGTATTCTTGAATCTCATGTTAATCTCTAAGCATATACGTCTCATGTGCTTATTCTTGCTCCGTAGATTTGGCGCTCATTTTCTTTTGCAGCACCCGTTGATCACTTTTCTGCCGATTGATTTATAGCCTTCGACAGTGTAATAACGTCACTTGCTAAAAAATCTCTTTATTTCACCGTGACATGAAGTCTGTTGTTTTGATTTTTCATGAGATTTTCCAGTGCGCTGATGAAGAAAGCCTCTGAGTTACGATTGTATATTGTTCCACAACTTTGTCGATTCTTCTATTAAATTGTCGAAAACTTTGATTTGCGACTCTTAAAAGTCTTTACTGATTCGAATACGCGCAGGAACGACTCAGTAATTCGAGAGGGCCGGCATCTCAGCTTTGTGTTCCAGTTGATCGAAACCGTTGAAGTCGCAAAAAATCATACAAAAGAGAACATCAGTTCCTCTGCGCCCTTTTCTCAGTCGCGAAGATAGAGTCGAAATTATGAAAAACTGACAAAAGAGTATTTCAGCAGCTGATTACGAATCAGAAGATAGGTGTGGCAGGGTAGGAATGATCCGACGTGATGGCTCCCAAAAAATGCTCAATTTGAAAAATTTAAAGAACCGGGGATCTCTAACCGGATTCAGCTCCCTTGCCAAAAGATAAATTCCTTAACTGAATTGACGAGAATTGGCATAAAAGAGCGTTTAAATTGATTGTTAAGAAATGTCTGTACTATACAACTTCGTAAACGAAATCAACAGCGATCAGTGCTGCACCCAAGGAAATGATGGACTGTCACCATTTTCCTCTGCTTTGCAAGCCAAAGGTTCTAGATTGTACATTTAATGAAATAAGTAGTAGCGGGCATCAGGGTAAAAGGCGCAATCATGCGTTTTGCGCAGTTCTGTCCAGTGGACATTTGCCTGCTAGGGATTTGCACTGTTTTACAATTTGATCCGTGCAAAGATAATCGATTTGTTGTTTGATTCCTAAGCGACGAAATTTCCCATTAAAAATTTCACGTGCCGAAATATGGAACACAAATGTACATGAAAGCTGAATTTGAAACTCTGGACAGTGAACATCGTTCCAAATTTTTTTCCAACTTTATTTCGAATAACTTTCGCGCCAAAACTTTCATTGGTTGTATGTAAGACCTCATCATAATTGGGAACTAAGTTTGAGTTTGTTAGGCCAATGCATAGGCAGAAATCATTCTCCTGAAACTTTCACCCCTAACTCTTTTGCCCATATAAGTGGTAATTTTCTCCGTCAAAACTTTCATGGGGCCGTACGTGATGCCCAATTGCACGGGAAAGCTAAATTTAAATTTGCGAAGTCGTAGTGGGCATGGGGCATTATCTTAAAATTTCAGTTTCTCAGCCTTTATGGTTTCCGAGAGTTCATGTTTCCAGCTTTCATGCTTCCCAGCCCCCGTGATTCGTGATTCTCGAGCCAAAATTTTCGTGGAGCCATGCGTGGTACCTGGGGGGCACTTGAAGGATGAATTTGAACTTGCGAAGTTGCACGTGGGCGGAAAGCATTGTATTAAAATTTCAACTTCCCAGCTTTCGTGTTCCCGAGTTGAAAGTATGGGGCAAAATGCATTCGGTCACACACACACAAACACAAGTGTGCAGACAGGGCGTGACAATATGTGTTTCTTGCTGCTGTTACACAGCGCAAAACGCACAAAAAGACGTGAGAGTTTAGACAGAGGGAGCAAAGTCAGCCAAGAAGCATTGGGATGTACCAAGTAAAATTGAAAAATAAAAGGCTTGTTCTAAAATGGTTATGAAGGAAACGGTTCATAAATTTAGAGGAAACGCCAGCGTGACTGGAAAGTGATGCGGGATCTCAAAAATTATTAGGATGCAAGTGCGCTTTACAGGCAACTGATAGCATTCCTGCGTGGTTGGAAGACGCCTTCACACAGTGCTAGTCGAGAATTACAGCTTGCAGAAGCAGCATGTTTACTGGATAATCAATGATATATGATGTGGTTACGGATTCTTCTAACACCTACAGTTTAAATAATATCTGGTGGTCTTACACAACTTGTATCACTTTTGTCAAAAATCATTGTATTTCATAAAGGCTGTCATCATAAGCATTGTCTACAGAACATGCGAGTGAGCGAAAACAGAAGTTAGGCTTTAGAAAGCCAGATACTGACTTTCAGTCGAGAAAGTTCAATGCAGTTCAAGGCATGGAAGTGCAAACTATAGGATGAGTTATAGAAAAGTAGGAAAAGCAAGTCAGCGTAAGAATTCGAACTCTACGCAGAGCTGGCGTCCTTGGTTTTGTGCAGTGTTAGAATAGCTGACTTGGGGTACCTTAGAATCACTTTATATCAGTAATACATTAGTGATGAAAGCTTCCTGAGAGGCGGACTTTTATCCGGATCATTTTAGTAATGATCCGAGTTGTCCTCTCAGTTATCGCCTCCATCCCTAATCTTGATGTGAAATGATTTTCTCAAAGCGCTAGGTGCATTCTTTGATATTTTTACGCTCATTCCTTTCTACCTAGATGTTGTTTTGTATGCCTATTAAGATCTTTTTTTAAAGCACTTTCATAGTACAGTTTTTATGTGTTTCTGCACACTTCTGCAAGTTCAAAAGTGCATATTGGCAAGGGATTGTTTGTGTGTGTGTTTGTGTGTGTCTGTGTGTATATATGTGTCTGCGCGTTTGCATTTTGTCAGCCATTTTCAATTCAGTAACCAGAGAAGCTAGTCAGCTAAAAATTTTGTAACATGTTTTCACTCCGTGTGCCACTGTCCCGTTTTAATTCTTTCATTTAAGTACACAGGGTCCCACTTACGGCACTTAAAAAAAAACATACAACTTTTCTGGGAAGAAATCGAGTTCGGAAACCAGATATGTTGGAAAATTGAAATTTCGTAGGGATGTTTTACGTTTTTTTTTTGTGAGCCAAAGGAAAAAAACCTCAAATTCAGCTTAAATACGCGCCTGTGTCAGGTGTGTGGAAAATTAAAGTTGAGATTGAAACGTTGCCAAAATGCTAACCCGGGAATTTAAATAATTGGAGCCCTTTACTATTTGCGTTTACGAGAATAGTTTTTTTTCATACATGGGCGTGTAGCTGTAAAATAAGTTTTGGCGTTCATCTGTTTCGCGTGTTCGGGTGCGTCAAAGATATTCGTAACGGAAAGTGATTTCGTCAAACATTTATGCTAGGGAGCTGAAACTTTACGAGTATATTCTGGGCCAATGTGCGACTTAAATATTTCAAATTCAGCCTTAAAAAACATCTAGGGCTCGTGCGCCCGCAAGTGAATGCTTAGTTCGGAACATTTTGGCACCCATTTAACTCGGTAATAGACTAAACACGAAGCAGTATTTTTCTGAAAATATTTACTGTTAATGTGCTGGCCACAGAACGTTAGACGAGCATCTGCCTAGGCATGGGCCCTGCGTACAGGCACATCAAATGCTCAAACTGCAACACCACATTCACATCACAGTATTACAAGCGCTCTCTCTATGGGATAAAATCATGCAAAAACGCACGATCACACTGGCAAGCCTGGATGTCGCTATCTGGATGCTTTTATACACTGATGTTCAAAATAGTAGCAAAATTTCTATAACGAAGACATATGAATTAGCCAGTGAAGCAATTCACAGTAATTTTTTTACATTTAACCTGACTCTTTACTAGCTAGACTTAAATCATTAAAGAGTTAGTAATCATATTTACTATTGTTGATGGTATAAAAAGTTAAAAACGTTTTCATTCTAAAGAAGAAATGTTTTCAAGGAAGCTACTTTAAGCCACGCCTCGATCTCCGTTTGATATGTTTTTTTTTTTTTAAATGAGTGAAGTTTGGTGGAGCGTAGAACACAGTTCTCGTGAGAAGCGTGATAGTTTGCTATTATTATTTTTTTATTTCATGTTGTTATATTGTTTTAGCTATGTTTTCAATTGTTTTAGACATTCTATTAATCAGCCAGCGACATCCACAACATGTTGTCTCATTAATGATTTCAAAAACCACGATACATTTTGTTTTTATATAGCTAATGCACTTGGAGCGGATGGCCTGTTTAAGGTGTACAAAATAAACAGCCATCTACGCTGGCGCGTTTTTTTCAGTGTGGATAGTGTGGATTGATGGGTTAGAGCTTGTAGAGGCAAGTAACCTGCACCATGATAGTCTCTGTAGTAATTTTAAGTCAAAAAAATATCGAATCTATAGTCTATTGCAACCTGAGGTTAAAACAGCAGCTCGGGCTGAGAAATAAGATTTTAGGTCAAGACATTCTGAAAGCTGGTTTTAAATGATTAACCTTTCACTATTTGTAGATCTAAACCGTTAAAGTTTGATGTGCGTAACTTGTGCTGTTTTGAAAGTACAACAGTAGCACAATTTTCACATCCGATATTACAGGTTAGGGCATGAAGTTTATGGAGATTGTTTTCTAGAAAATTCGTTTCTCATTGTACGACAAATTGAGTTATTAACTTCGTTCGTTCTTGCCATATTTCGAATTATTCAAATTTTAAGCCTAAACTTGGAAGCGGGGTTGCAAAAAAATTTGGAAGCTGACTTCAAGCTTATAGATGAGGACGTATTTGAGGACTGTTTCCTAATTTTAACTTTCTAACTTGTGATAATTTCCAAGCTGGTTTGTTTGAACAAAAAGACTTGGTTTTGTCGTACTGCTTTTCTGATTTAACTAAAATGCACAAAAAGAACTAACCCAATTTTTTATTGCAGCTACACCAAAATGCTTCCAATTTGAATAACCATCCGGGACGGTAACAACAATGTGATCTCCTAGTTTGCCTTCGCCAAATATATTTTCGCTGAAAAACAAAAAATTAACAAAAATTTTTTGATTTTGTTCTCCCCAGTTCAAACGATGGTGGGACCATTCAACTTTGTTCAAAAATTTAGGGCTGAGAAATCGAACTATGTAATTCATTAGTCGAAAAACTAAATACGCAAGGGAATTTTGTGAAAAACTAACATTGGCTTCGAAAACTCAGCCGCTGAGCTGCTGATTATTTTGTAAACATTCGCTGCTTTTGTTACTTCTTCCAATTTTGAGAAATATAAACTGTAACCAGGACCATCTGCAAAACAACAATTGTCTGATGAATATGTTTTTTTCATAAATTTGCTAACTTTTATGCTTCCTTGAATAATTGTTTGAATGAAGTATGATGCATTCTTCTTGTTGCCGAGAATGGAAAGGCAGCTGTTGGGAGAATTGAGGGTTTGGATTGTAGTAGAGCAAGCTTGCAGACTGGTGTTTTACAGGAGCTCAAGAACTATTTCCATTTTAATGAAATAGGCTCTAGAAGTGTGCTTCAGTACCACTGACAGCTCTGTGCTGAAAGGCCCAAAATTGTTTTGAAATTTATATGAGAGACATCGCTCTTGCTTTGGTAGGAATTTTAAATTTTAGCAGATTTTACAAAAAGGCTAGTTTGTCCATCCCTTTTGGCCTCCATAATAAAAAAGTGGTAACAAAAAATGCTTCCGCCAGTCACTAAAAATTTCACTTAAGCCAAAAACTTGGCCAGGAGCTAAAGGTTGATCAAAATTTTGTATTCAAGAGAGAGAATTTCCGAAAAATGTTGGAGACGAAGAAAATACGGTATAGAAAATATAAATAGCGGCGCGCACCAGGGCAGCCGGTGCGATTATGCGTTTTGTGCAATTCCGTTCACCGAACGATTGCCTGCTACTGATTTTCACGGCTTTGCACTTTGGTGTGTGCAAAAATAGTTGAAATGTTGTCTGGTTCTTAAGCTGCAGAATTTCCCGGTGAAAATTTCATGCACGTGAGATAATAATTTGTATACCAAAACTTTTACGAGGCCGTACATCGTACCCAGGGGTGCGTGAAGGGTGAATCCAAATTTGCGAGGTCGTGCGTTTGCAGAGGAGGTTATCCTAAAATTTCAGATTCCCAACTTCCACAGTCCCCGAGATAATATTTTCCCCCGCCGAAATTTTCATGGGGCCATAAGTGATACTCGGACGCGCGGGAAGGCTAAATTTAAAGCTGTAAGATTGTATGTGGACAGAAGCCATAACTGTAAAATTCCAGTTCCCTAACTCCCGTGGTTCCCAAGACAATAATTTTCCCGCCAAAACTTTTACTGGATCGTAAGGGTTACCCGCGAGCGCGGGAAGGCTAAATCTAAATTTGAGAGAAGTCGTACGTGGCAGGGAACATATTCACAAAATTTCAGCTTACTAGATTTCGTGATTCCCGACATAATAATTTATCCGTCAAAAGTTTCATAAGGCCGTACATGTTCCCCGCGGACACGGGAAGGCTGAATTCAAATTTTCTAGGTCGCGCATGGCCAAGGGACATACCCATAAAATTTCAGCTTCCCAGCGTCCATGGTTCCCGACATAATAATTTACCCGCCAAAATTTTTACGGGACCGTTCGCACTATCTGCGGGAAGGAGAAGGCTAAATTTAAATTTTCTGGGTCGCATGTGGGCAAGGGACATGCCCATAAAATTTCAGCTTTCTAACATCCTTAGTTTCCATGATAATAATTTCACCCGCCAAAACTTTTACGGGGCCGTACATGTTATCCACGGACAGGAGAAAGCTGAATTTAGATTTGCGGGGTCACATTTGGGTGGGAAACATTCCTCTAAATTTCCAGCTTCCTAACTTCTGTGGTTCTCGAGCTGAAAATTGCGGACAAGTTGCTGCGGACAAACACACACACATACCTATACAGAAACAAACACACAGACGACCCCGTAACAACATGCGTTTTGTACTGCTTTTACACAGCACAAAACGCGTAAAAAGCTGCTTGAAAGACTAGGCAGCTTTGTCGACTAAAGTGATTTTGGACAAAGGTCGTATCGGGCCCAAAACTGACCTCTTTAGTAAATCGAAATCGTCCTTGCGTTTTAGTACTGCCCATTTGTTGCTTCAAGCCATGCTTAGGCAAACAGGTACAAAATTTTACTGGCGTAGAAAAAACAGGATTTGGCCGCAAAAGCCAGCAATTTGATACTATCGATGTTAAAACTGATAAAAATTGAAAGGAGCTTCACGTTTAATACCCTTTGCATTATTAATTCTGAAGTTGGTGAGCTGCAATGCGGTTTTATTAACAATCCATACATCTGCTTCCAAGCCATGCGTCTCATTTCGTAAAGTACCAAGTTTTACACCGTTATATTCTGCACTGCTTGCAACTCCTGCAATGCATTTTGCACTACACGATGCCTTTTTAAAATAAAAATTACATAGAATTTCTGAGTTAAACTAGTTTGCCCCTTCCGCTTTTTAAATTTTTTGGAAGATTTTGACGCAACGCTGCAGTTTAATTTCTTATGTTTCGTCTGTAGCAGACTGTGAATTGCTTTGCAGCAGTAAAAGTAGTTCCAGGAAAATCGTGTTAGTCCGATATTCTAGGAAACAGCGACTTGCCTGAGTCCATGTTCATTCAGAAATGTATTGAAGTTGAAAAATGCCAGTAGTTTTTTATTATGCGTTTTTGCTGTGCAACGCTGCTACAGCCAGCAAAAAAGCATATTTTCGAGAGGTCACCTATATGTGTATGTGTTTGTTCAGAAGCAAGTGAACTTTGTCACCCACTTTCATCTCAGCAACCAGGAAAACTGAAAGGCTGAAATTTTGAGTAGATGTTCCTACCCTGTGTGTTATCCTCTTGTTTTAAGATCTTCCCCCACACACGCCTAAACCCTGCGTAAGGCCTTCCAAAAAAAGATGCAAATTTCTTTGGCGGGAAATGACTTCGTGAATCAGGCAAGGCACGAAGCTGAAATTCTGCAGGGATATTCTCTGTGCATATGCGAGCTGAAGATTTCAAATTCATCTGTCGCGAACCCTTGCGGAGCGAGTACGATCGCGTCAAAGTTTGTAACTTGGTACGGTGCTAACACGAAAACTTACTGGAATACAGTGGCTGAAATTTTGACAGCATGTCTGTCGCTCAAATTAGAAATAGTATACCTAAAATGAGTGCAGATTTGCACTAGCGCCACCACTTAGGGCACTTCAAAGATATTTGTTGCGATGTGGCTATTTCGCTTACCGAATAAGGTGCGAGGCGAAACTTTGCAAGGATATTCTACTTTCAAGTGCGGCCTTAATTCTGCTTGGAAGTAAATTTCCCTGCAAGTGGTTATGAGAAATACTCAACTTTACTGAACCCAGGTTGGAACGCACCAGGCTCTCCGGTGCGATCATGCATTTTTGCACTAAACTCGCAGATCGCTATTAGC